GGTTTTCTAGGAGTGTTTCCATTGGGACCACCTGCCTCTTGAGTGTCTTTCAGGCCTTGACCATTAGTCCCAGGAATTCCTGTTGGAAGGATTATAAAATCAAAGTTGAAAAGAGCATTGGCTGCCACATTTCTCTCCTCTGGATACTGTACATGTCGGTAAATTCCATTCATTTTGCATACACGCTTGTCAACAGGAAAAGCAACAATGTGACAAGAAAATGGGATTTGGGATACTGCCGCGCTGTAGGTTTGAGTGAAATTGGTGGTTCGCTCTATGCAGCATTTGTCGTGTGCCCTGAAGTCATCTTTTCTGTGTTTATGGTCTGGTCTAGTGGATCCATGGTTCTCATTTTGTATAAAAACAAACAGAGGGTTCAATATATTCATAGTTCTTGCAGAACCTTCCCTGAGTCCAGAGCCACCCAGAACATTCTGATCTTAGTGTCTACCTTTCTGATTTTTTATACATTCTCCTCCATCTTCAGAGGCTACACTGCTGTTTTGTATAATCAAAATTGGTGGCTCAAGAACATTAATGACTTTGTTTCCCTCTGTTTCCCATCATTTGTACCCATTATCCTTATCTATCATTCCTCTATTTTATCCAAGCTTTGTTTGGGCTGAATAAAGGATAAAAATTATTCAATCTCATTTTAACATTTAAATTGAAGTGTTTTGATTGGTATCCAGTTGTTTACTCATGCGTCACACTCAAAAGGTCAATCAATACAGAATGTAAAGTAGATTGTACCTTCTCTTCTTAAGATTTGGTAAATGAATATGTGAGTTTTGTCTGCTGGTTGAATCAACAGCCTACATAATCCAATCTTATTGTGTGAGTCCCATTGTACTCTTCAACTTGAAGCTGTGAAAGCTTGGACGTCTTGATGTGCAACAAAGTCAACAAAAATCTGTCAATAAAAATGTTCTACATGTAGCTTTTATTTTTTCAGGAGATCTTGGCTGCTTAGTAATTTCACATACAGCTCTGAGTAGTATGTTTTAACTACATGAATACTGAGATAGTACTTGGCCATGAACTTGTGGAAGAGCCTCAAGTTCCAAACACTACTGTTATAACCTGCCCCAATAAAAATATAATTAATATCTTTTACCGCATATGACAATCTGTTCAAA